TGACAATCAGTACCAGTACCTTACACAATGTTACTGGTACTGTTTAATCACTATTGCAAATAGTTCATGTGATAAATGGGGTTGTCATCCTGTGTCCCTCCCCCGCCCCCCATGGTAGTAATTTTCCTATTAAAGGCTGAGGGGCTAAGTTTTGGATTGTGTTCCTCTTCTTCTGTTATGCAGCAGCACTGGTATAACCAGACCAGCCTTCAGGGAGTAATAGGTGTCCAAAGCTCTAGATAAGACTCTTCATCTTGTACAATGTAACTTGGCCAACTTTTCTTCCTAAAGGCTTTGTTTACTTGAAAGAAAGATGTGTTCAACTTGGAGTGGGTGTGACCCAGTGGGTATCAGGCAGTGAAGACTTGTTTGTTTGTTTGCTTTTTTCAATAATATTGTAAGAGCAGCTTTTTGGATCTTGAATTAAAATTGCAAACATCATTATATGAGCAGGCTCTCTGTTCTCCCAGGAGAGCCAACCTGCATCACAGCTGATTAGATAATAAACTGGTAGCTTCATTTAAAAATGTCAGTAGCTGAGTTTGGATGGTTACTGAAGAAAACAACTTAAGACTGAAGGCTTAGATAAGTTTTTTTGATGTATTCCCGAAAAATAAGTTACTAGAAAAACTACTTGATTAGTTTTCCTCTTTTGACTCAGAGAAAATTTAATGTTTCCTTCTCCCTTAATTCCTAACCAGTTCTTAATTCCTAACCAGTTCTTAATTCCTAACCAGTTATACAAGGACTGGAGGTGCTGCAGCTTTGGAATCTTTGGAACATGATGAGACCAGAATCAGTCAGTTCAACTAATACTCTCTGTTCAGTAGAGGCCTTTTGAATATGAAATATGACATAACACTTTCTTCAAGTGTTGTTGATAAAAAGCTGTATTTATTTAAAAAACTTTGAATGCTTTTTGTGCAGTTCCATGTATTTTGTTTTTCTAGATAGTATTTGCCATACGTGTTAATGCAGTCTTTTGTTTACAACATACTAAAAATTTGGAACTGTACTCATAGCTGTGTAAAGGTACCCAGGTGTACCATATTGGCAAGAATAAGACAGACTTCTGTTGCAGAAGGAAGTTCATTTTATGGGGGCAGAAACAGAACAAGGGGCAGAAACAACATGGGAGCACTGTTGATGTTGGATGCAGTCGTGGAGTTGCTGCAGAAATGTGCAGCCCCTCCGCCAACCTCAAGCCTAACTTTGTTTCATCTCTGTCCTCTGTTGGGATCTCCTTGGCATTGTAATAATTTCTCCCAGGCATTATGGTCATTTTTTTCTTTCAAAGGGAAAGATGCAAAGCCAAATACAGTGAATTTTCGTTTCCCTGTTATCAGGAGATTGGCAGACGTGTTTGCAAATGCAGTTAGCAGCTTATTAGCAAGCGGAGCCAGAACTCAGGTTAGGGCAGGTGGTATGCCTTGCAGATAAATCAGCTCCTGAAATCTGAAGTGTGAGTAGATTAAGCAATGAACTGTCTACCTGAGGACTTTGACAGTTTATTTCTTTATTTGTTTGTTTATTTTGCTTTGTGCATGCTAGGAGTAGAGTAAAAAACCCCACAAAACCCAACCAACCAATCAGCCAACCAAATAAAAACCAAAAAGCCCCTTAGCATTTTAGGTCTATGCAGGTTCAACAGAAGGAGGAAAAAAAACCCAGTAAAAATAGTAATAATTTGTCAGTTACAAAAGTATGCCTAAATTATTTTTTTATGTTTAGAACTAGATTGCAAATCTTGGTTTCTTGTGGATAATTTCAGTTTACTTGCCACAGAATTGATTGCGTATATTCCTCCTTTCTGGTCTCCCATATCAGTGGCCTCCAAAGCAGGATGTGCAAGACCATCCCTTGAGGTGCAGGAAGAAAATATTAGGACTTACATTTTATCTAAAAAAATAAGAAAGAAAATAATATTTAATATACATATTGACACTGGTACCCTCACTCAGTTCGTGTGTCAGATGGTCCTGTGTCACATAGGGTTCACAAGGTGTCCTGAGGGTGGATTTGGTGTTCCCCAACTTGTGGGGGTCACTGTTTGTGTGTGCCCAGTGAGGTGGGTTTATGGATTATATTATCTAGTTTTAACTAAACTAACCTTCATGAAATGGGTAAGTGGCTTAAAAAAATTGTACAAAGAGACCACGGATTGAAGGCAATACTAATAATGTGAGCACAAGTGAACAACAAGAACATGGCAGAGCTGATGCTTCTTCTACTTCTAGTATGAGCTCCTGGTCAGCCATGTTCTGAGGTAAAAACAATTAGAGCTAACAAATTGTTGTCCAAAAAAATTTGGGCTATATGAAATACAGAGGTACATCCACTGTTGTTAATGATGAACCTCACCCTAAGATAATATTGTACCTTGAGATATCAGCTAATCATAGTATGAAGCCATCACAATTAGCAAGGCATTTGAAAACTGAGCATCCAGAACATGAAGATAAACCTCTACAATTTTTTCAGCAATGTTTAAAGTCATGTGATACTCGGTCCAGTACTTTACAAGGTTTCACTAAACTTCATGATAGATCTTTAGAAGCCTCGTTTGAGGTTTCTCAATAGCAAAAGACATAGAAGCCACATACAGTTGGGGAAACACTTGATCTTCCTGCTGCAGTAAAAATGTCAGAAATAATACGTGAAAACAATATAGTGACAAATTAAAATGCATTCCTTTGTCAGTGTCAGCTCTGCCATGTTCTTGTTGTTCACTTGTGCTCACATTATTAACATTATCTTCAATCTGTGATCTCTTTGCAGGATATTTTTTTTTAAGCCACTTGCCCATTTTGTGAAGGTTAGTTGGAAGATGTCTGGAAAACATTACCAAAGATTTGAAGAAGCAAATATTAGAACAAATAACACAGTATGGGAGGCTTGCTGTAGAGCTGATGATAACCACTGATGGAGTGTCTGCTTTGAGTGAAGTAAAAAAGGTTTCTGGGATAAGGTTAGGAGAGCACCACATGTGGAATTAATTCACTGCATCATTCATAGACAAGCAACAAGCAGGTTGGAGCCAGAAGTGTGCAACGTGCTGCAGGATGTTATCAGTGTGGTTAAATTGTATGAAAATGAGACCTTTAAATACTAGAATCTTAACAATAATTTGTAATGACGTGGACACTTACCATGAAAATCTTTTGTACCATGCAGAGGTTCTTTGGTTATCATGGCAAAGTGCTTAGAAGAGTTGTAAAGCTGACAGAGTAACTATGCATTTTTCTTTGCAAAAAGACAAGTGTTATGAATTTTCTGACCTGTTCTGTGATGACATCAGCAGTATACTAACAAATTTAAAAAAAAATGAAGACACTTAATGTGTCCCTTCAAGGTGAAGGTGATGTTTTAACAATGAACAAGAAGGTGACTGCTTTTTGAAAGAAGCTCGTCCTATGGAAAGAATGTTTTGAAAACTGATGTTTGGAAATGTTTGCATCATGGTGTGATTTGGTTGCCAGAAAAGATGTGTGTCATCCATAAAAACTCTCATATCTGTACACTCAACTTTGAAAAAAAATTTCCTCACCTGTTTAAAAGTCTTCCAAATGAAGAATTCCAGGGGGTTTTGAGCCCATTTTTTAAAAATGTAAAAATGCAACAACTTCCATTAGTTTGCAATAACAACTGATTAATATTGTTGAAGATGGAAGTTTACTGGCCAAATTTCAAAAAAACCTTTGAATAATTACTAGATGGGAATGAAAAATTAGTATAATGATTTAGTAAGTGCAGCCAGTGATGCACTTTCATTTGGATGTACGTATCTTTGTAAATTGTCTTTTCCAGCTATGACTCCCATTAAAACCAAGTATTGAAATAAACTGAATTTAGAACCAAACCTTAAAATCACTGTATTACAAAATGTTAAGCCAACATTTTAAAGAATGATGAAGCATATTCAATCATGTGGCTCTCACAAAAAAAAAGTAATTAATAATTTGTTTAGCGAGAGCAAAAAGGTTTTTCGTACTGTTAATAATAAAAATTATTTTAAAATACTGCTTATTTCACTTTTATCTCATCCTTTTTAATTTCTAGTTTTGTATGTTTTATAATGTACAAAATATGTAAGTATGGTAGTATTATATTACATAAATACAGTAGTATTTATAAATAATTCATAAATAAATGTATACATATTAGGGGTGCATGCTCAAAAATTTTTTACTGATAGAGGTGCATGACCAATTAATGTTCCCAGAAGTAAATATATGGAAGTTCATCCAGATCATGGAAGGTGTATTTTAAATGTACATATTAATTTCTCATTAAAATTCTCCATTTCTCTGATAGAAACAGAGAACATTTTACTTCTGGCTTTGTTTCAGGTGTAGTAATTCAGGAGGGTGGGAGTGATGTTGTCTGCACATGCTGGAATGCCCCAGCTAAGATCAGAGCCCCACTATTGTAGTGGCTGAATGATAAGATAGGGTGGTCCTTGTAAAGTGCTTAGTGTGTTAATATACAAGGGAAATTATTTGTGGGTGGACAACAGTGGTATAGAAAGCTGATGGCAAATCTAGGGATAGAATTCAAATGCTTGTTGTCTGAATCACTTGCATTATTGCTTGAGCATATCATTCTGAGGACAGCTTCGTTTTCAAGCATGTAAATGTTTCAGATGTTTTGTTCATTTGTAGTTGCTGATGCTTAGCTCATCTGAAATCAGACCATAAGCATACCTTCTGGAGACAGAAGTATTGATATATCACAGGTGAATTTTATTTTTCTTGCCATACATGGTTCTGAATTATGTAAATGTATGCATTGCTGAAGTGTCTTGGCATCCTCAAAGGTAATGTGGGACAAATTTCTGAAGTAATTGGGTTTTTTTTAACTGGTGTTATGAAATAAAGTGTTCTGCCATACCTAAGTAACGTTTGGTAACTTGCTTTGTTGAGCATTTTATTCAATAGTCCTAACTAACATGCAGAGATAAGTACTTTTTAATAAGCTACCTGTGTGCTTTTTTTTTTTAGGCTAAAGCCTAAACCTCTGACATGGCCACAGCCTCACCAAGATCTGATACAAGTAACAACCATAATGGAAGATTACAGTTGCAAGTAACAGGCAAGTAGTGATTTGTATCATAGTGATTTTTACAGGAAAACATATATATTCTAAAAAAGCAATCTTTGAAATAAGTGTAAAAAATGGATCAATATCATTAATAACTTGAATGTTAGAGTTAAGAATATGACTATAACAAATGTAGATGAGTTGCAGCTAGGTAGATGTTATACAACATTGGATGACAGGGTTTAATGATCTTTTCAAATTAGAAAAAAATCAGATTCAGTACAACAATAGGGACAACTGTAAGGGATTTTGCTTGTGAACAGATAATTAATGGCACAAATTCTATAGAGGGAACACATATTATTGAAATTCTGTAAAAATAATGGGTGGTTGTAATGAACCCCAAGCTGAAAATAGGTGCAATGTTATATGAAGCTGGAGAAGAACTGGAGGAGATCACAAAATCTGCCAGCCCTACAAAAGATTAAGGTCTTTGATTACATATCAGGTAAACGTCTGTTGAGAATAAAATAGGTATTCTGTATTATCCTTAGAGCAAAAGGTTGGATTACACAGCCATATGGAATAATTTAGGTTGGAAGGAACCTTTGGGGATTTCCTAGTCCACTCTTCTGCTGAAGGCAGGGCCACCTCTGAAGTTGGGTTAGGATGCTCAGGGTATTGTCCAGTTGAATTTTTAATATCTCAAAGGCTGTAGATTACTGACTTTCCTGGTCAGCTTGTTTGGTGATAAACCACATTGCTGTGAAGATGTTTTTTCTTTTATCCAATCAAAATTTACTATGTTGCGTCTTGTGACTGTTTACTTTTTCCTTTTGCTGTGCTGGTTCTCATAGTTCGAGGCAGAATTCAGCCATCCCAGTATCTACTGAGAGGAAAACACAGTGGGCTACAAGCAATTCTGGAAATTTCTGATTGTTGAGGATGCTTTTTTCAATAGATGTTGAACAGGCCAAGTAGGTTGTCCATTTTGCTACTCATGGATAAGAACTGGTCAGGGATATGACAATAGGTGTCAGCCTTAGGTGCTTTTTGTGTGGGGTGACAGAGCAAAACAAAGACTTGTAGTCCAAAAATAAGCAAAATGCATCTAGGTAAACAAGTTTGATAGCTAATTATGATAGTGTTGCAGTAGTTAAAAGTGGAAGTGTTACCAGCAAGTAGTTTAGATATTGTGCATAAATATATATACACATAAATATGTGTGTGTACGTATGTATGTATGTATGTAAGTATTATTTTACCATTAATAGATAACTTGAACTTTACAGGGATCCTGAGAAATCTGGAAACCCTGAAGTAAGAATAAGTGCATGACCAAGAATATATTAAGGCTGTCTTGAACAAAATTTGGGAAAAACATGAGTAAGATACCATGTCTTAAAAAAAGCTGCACCTCAAGAAAGATGCTTCTTGCTGGATGGTCCAAAGATGGCCAGGTTATCTGAGAAAAAGTACATTATTGGAGAGTCCTCCAAATGGATAGTTTATCAAATTAGATAAGAGAAGAACTTTAAAACTGATTAACCTCATGTAAGGATCAGAACACTTGATAATGTGATGAATCATCAAAACTGGCAATAACGAATAGCATAGATGGAACCATTTTGCAGATGGAATATATATAATTGTAACAAACTGGTTCCACAAATGACCCGTAACTTCAGATCTGTGTATGCAGAAATGGTCATTTTGATATCCAGTACTGTACTGCTCCTTATGTAGGTATTTTTCTGGCTCTGGAGCTTCTCTTGACTTCAACAGATCTGATTCAAGGATCAAAGCGGGAAGAAATCTGTATAATTTGTAAGATTAGTTTTCTGAAGGTTTAGTTCTCTAACCAGTCTATTGCAAGATCAGAGGAACGCCAGTGGCAGTACAGGGAAAGAAGTGGAACACAGAGGAGTTGTGGGACTGTAGTATTGTTTACCTACACTTGGTTTGTGCTCAGACTGGTTTATGCTGCTGTAGAATCTAGACTTTATATTTCAAGAACTGTACTTGAAAAGCACTTTTTTAAAGGCAGCAAGTATCATATACTCATTTTGTAGACAAGGAAATTCATATGGAGTGGTAAGTGACTTGTTTGAGTTTGGACAATTACGACATGTTGCTGACAAGTTTTGCCATCAGTATTTTTTAAAATACACTTGTCAAGATATCTTGTTAGTTCTTTTTGAATTCTTTTGCTAGTATTTGTTACTTACTCCTAATTTTTAAAAAAATAAATTCTAACTGGAAAATGGTAATGGTCTCCTTTCATGTTTTTGGGCTCTAAACTTAATGACTTAAAACATAATCAGGTAAAAGGGGAGAAACTAAAAGGAAGCTTGAATCTTATGACTAAATACCTATGTTTTAACAAATGTTGCAGCTGCTTTTAGAAAGCAAAATATGGAGGAAAAAATGTGGAAGTGGAGGTTGTTAAAGCTTAAAAATATATTGTGGTTGCTGGTGAAAAAATATGACCAGTGTATGGAATTACATTTTTACTTTTCTCCATTCCATCTTTCATCGTTATCATGGCTGCAGTTGCATTTTACAACATGTGACACATGACTTGCTTAGGCTGGACTTTTCTACTATGAGGGAGTTAAGTGTGCAGCTTTTAATTGAAATTAAGTAAAAACCTGTGGCTAATGCCTTTAGAATCTTGGATGGTTGCATCCCACTAGCTTTGAAGGAACTAATATGTACGTCTCAGAAGACTGTAATTCAGAAACACATCATGGACCTTTCTTGTCTCCCTTTCAGACAGTTCAGTTAGCTTCCACTTTTTTTTTGGAATTAGCAAGTACCATACAGAAAAGTAAAAGGGAAAGGTTATTTCAAAGTGGCTGGAAGTACTCAGCTTTGCTTTAGTTTGAAAGTGAAGGGAAAGAAAATCATACTGAAGTATGGAAGGAATGAGAGAGAAGGCATAGCCACTGGATGGGTACAGGTGTTAGTCTGCTGATGTGGTCTTTTGAAGACAACACCAGCCTGAAATAGAATTTAAATTGTTGGAGTTAGGCTGCTGTTGGTTTCTATAGTGACTTCCTCAGCTGGGCAAAGAAGTGAGAGAACAGATTTATGTTCAGGAGCACTGAGGAGCTCACCAGTGATTTGGAGGTAATAAATACCTTCTGTGGTCATTTGCTATTTCTTAATTGTTGAATATTTAGCTGCAACTTTAAGTTCATCTGCAAAGCTGTTTAAATAGGGGAAATTTGAGACTTGATTTCTTACTTTTAACAAACTAATGTATTAAACCACAGGTTAACCATACAGGTAATACAGGCGTGGAAATGAAGCTCCATATGCAGGCTTTACTATACAGGGACTTTTTGAAATAGGCCTGAACTGCATATGGTTTCATAACTACATATAATTAAAAAAAATCTGCCTGATAAACTCTCAGATGTGTCATACTTAGATATTTTTCAGTTAAGGGAAGAGTAGGAAGAACAGTGAGAAAATAAACAAAAAAACTCATGTGGTTTTTCAGTGCTTATCCTTAAAACAGTTTTGGTGCTGTCTCTCCAATCCATCCTGCCAGTACGTGGTGAAGAGAATATGTCACACTTAGTTTCAACTATTTGACAAAGTAGCTTTTGAAAATAAAAGTGACTATTTTAGCATTGACCTCTTTATGTTCAGCAGAAGTAGAAAAGGTGAGGAATAACATTGCCATGCTGTGTTTCATACATTCTGTAGGCAGTACATTTTCTGTTTTTCAGCAACAGTATGCTGTTATAGATAAAGCAATGTATTTTATTAGTTTCTAGTGCCAAACTGAAACGGAAAAAGAATTGGTTTGGAACAACTTTCTACACGGAATTAACTGCAGATGGAGAAATTAAAAAAACAGCAAAATCAAGTAGTTCTTCAAATCCAAAATGGGATGAGCAGCTGACAGTGTAAGTAGATTTTTTGATTGTTTAATGCTATCTATTAGGCAGACATTGCAGGCAAATATTTACGAAGCTTGGCTGCCTACATAGTTTTCTCTGACTGTTGATGACTAAATGCAGACATAAGATGGTATTTATCTCATTATTTTTTTTCTCAATTCTTACAATGTTTTGAGAATGTTTTTTTTGTACAGACAGTGTTCCTTGCATGCAGTTGCTGTACATGGTATACTTTTGATATTTGTTAGCACTGTGGACCGTTCAATTTTAAGATTCCTCTCTAGAAGATGTTGCCAGTTGTAACCATGTCATTTTCACTTTAAAAGGAAAAAAAACTCTCGCTGGATAAATAGTAATTATGAAGAAGGTCACTTTTTCTTTTAAATTTCCTAATTAAGGAATATGCACACAAAAGCAGTTTCCTGCAATGTGACCTTGCAATTTATCCTGATATTTGACCTTTTTAATCTTGTGGTTTAATTTGATTTTTAACTTCAGGTGTAGATATATACCTGAATATGACTCTATGAAGAACTGTCAATCTTGCACTGTGCACTTGGCTTGAATATATTATTATACAAGCAAGATTATACTGCTTCAGATTTGGGTCCAGAAACAGCATAACTGCTATCAAGTGGCATTGAGCATGGGCCAGTACATTTTACAGCATCAGGACTGTCTTTGTACAATAGCCAGCTTTGTTAGTAGTAGGAACCACGCCAGTTTCCTGTAACTAAGAATGCTGGTGAGTGGGGAGTGTCACAAGATACCTAGCTTTGGGGAATTGTTTGCTTGGGAACACTTACTTATTAACTACAGACTTGGGCTCAAGCAAGTACGGTATTCCTGTGCCACATTTCTCAGTGTTTCAGGTTTAGTACAGCTTATCAGCCCTTTAGCAATATTGCAATGGAGATTGATATAGTCTTGGACCTGGTGATGATTTCCAGGAGTTATTACTAGCACAAGTGCAGAGCTATCAGTATATTCACAGAGACCGGAGCTTCTGTTGAGGAGGCAGGTTCGATTTGGTGGGGTTTGGTGAGCTGATAGAAATGAGGTACTCTGGCCTGCAGAGTACAGCCAGACTCATTCTATCGTCCTACTTACTTAGGATCTTACCCTTACATATATAAGGTATTCTGGCCCCTTCTTTCTCTGGCTGTTGGAATGGTTTTGTTGCCTCAGTTGCCCCCTCTATTCGAGGATAAGTTACCTCTCTGGCTTAGCAAATGCATCTCACTTGTATGGGTCTACATGATCACCAGCAATACTCTGTGTGTAGGTGGCTTTTCTTTCTTTCCTTTGTTGAGCTGGTCTTTTAGTAAGACTTCCATTAGAAAGCATGGGTTTCAGCAAAAATGATCCATGCTGTCCAACATGTTCAAGTGACTATGAAGCTAGCCCTGTTGCTGGAGGGTGGATATTGTTTTTAGTATTGTTTTAATCATTGTTGATATAACTTTCTGTGTCCAATACTGATGGATATGTGGCCTTTGACTTTTTGCAGTATGGTGATTCTACTCCATTTTTCACAGCCAGGCGTGCTCTTGCAGTACTAGACCCTATACTACAGAACTTACTCTGCAGAACCTAGTATAGCTTCCCATTTTCCTTCTTGAGCAGGGGAGAGATCACTGCCAAAGGTTATAATAATATTACTGTAATTGGGTCCTTTACCTTTCTGCTTCCTTCCAGTTTTCACTTTAGCTTCATCATTTGATTTTTCCCCTCTGATTTCTGTGAGTATGCATTATGGTTTTATATATATTTGTGGGTTCACAAATAATGTTTCATCAACACTTTCATGGGAAGCTGACACCTATTAAGTGGGTTCTCCCTGTATGCAAGTAGCTGATTGGTTGCTTTTTCCTTTTTTAAAAATATTTAGTATTTTTCTTTCTAGTGACAGACATATACTTACCACCTTTTTTTCCACATTTAATAATGTGAGTCTGTAGGTAGAATTCTGGAATAGTGAGGAATAAGGAAAATATGTCTTTCATGAATAAAGTAAGATGTGTTTTATATAACTGAAATTTGAGTTTAGTGTAGGTTGTTCTGATACTCCTCAAATTCCTTATGCTATCATAGTAATGCACTTTAAGTTTGATCTTAAGTATAAATATCATAGTATCTGCAGTTCTCAGTTAAAAATTTCCCCTTGCGTACAAAAACTTACTTCAGTTAATTAGTATCGAGAAATACAATAAATATGAGAAAGTTAATTAAGTTCAAATACTCCTAAGAACAAGAACGAATACTTTCAAGTCTGTATATATTTTTTTAAAAAAATGTATTTTATATGCAGGAATGTGACTCCACAGACTACGCTGGAATTTAGAGTGTGGAGCCATCACACTTTAAAAGCAGATGCTTTATTAGGAAGAGCCACTGTAGACTTGAGACAAGCTTTGGAAATACACAATAGAAAATGTAAGTTATCATGAAGGGTATTTTGAGTAAAGTAGAATTATTATTACTAATCTATATATCAAACTGGCAACCAGACTACTAACAATACATGTGATTACAACTGACTTGCAGTTGATGTCTATACTTGTCTCTTCTAGAGATGTCTGTGCTATCGAGAGCAATTTAAATATAACAATGGGATATAATAATTTTGAAATAAACTAATATTAGAGTATGAGTTACTACAAATTAAGTGGTAGGGATTAAATACAGTTTTTTTGTGGCACACTAATAACTAATTTGCTAGAAGATCTGTTTTAGACTTGGTAAAAAGAAATTCTAAATTTTCAGAAAAAACATCTATGTAACTTTTCGTGTTTTCCTTCTCTGGAATCACAAATATTTTTCCCTCATAATGTAGCTGCCCAGAGAGCAATAGGAACCACTAATTAATGAAACAGTCGAGAACTGCCTTTTAGTACATTAATGATTGTTGTGTTCTATGTAACATCTAATTTTAATTGTCTTTAATGGAATTAAAACAGGTCTTCTTTATCTAATTTGCTTTTAAAAATTGTTTATATTGATATAAGAAAATGGTGAATCCACACTTTAAATTCCACTCTAGGGTAGCAATAGAATTCCAGCTAAACCAATCTCTAACCTTTCTCAGAAGTCAGATACACAAACCTGAGAGCTCTCTTTAGGGAGGTGGGGAGAAAGGAGAGCCAAAAAAAAGGTTCATTTTTCTGATTCATACAGAAAATTGAAACAGAATCCAAAATCGAGTGGAGTTTCTTCTTATAAAGATTCTGCCCAAGATTCCATAGTTAAGCAGAAAAATTGCTTCTTTTTTAAATAATTAAAATTACCCTGCATCAGAAGAAACTGGGTTGTGATAATGGTAGCCAAAAAATTGTTAATGTTTTAACTATTTCTAACAAAATAGTTAATATTTTATTACTGTAGATCCAGGGGATGTAGGATCCAACAACTTGGCAAATTCTTTCAGTGAATGGTTGACTGAGTTAGCTGTACATTGCACCATAAGTAATTTATGTAGTGTTTCTGATTTGAGCAAGTCAGCAATTTGACACGCACTGGATTATGGAATAATTCAGTGGTAGAATAATCTGATTGGTATCCTTCAGCTGTCCAGTTACTGATTCCTAATCTAAAATGCAGCACTTGAAAGGCTCTTTACTGAAGAAAATATAAAGGGGGCACTCCTCTAAATGCAGAAACTTTAGAATTAATGCTGTTGATTTCTCCTGCTAAACACCACCAGTACTGAATTGCTGTCCACACCCCTCCCAGCCTTCTTGCCAGCTCAGGTGGGCTACAGTCAACTGTTGATCTGGTTTGGGGTAATAACCTGTTAAAATAGCAGAAGCTAAACCAATCACCCTTTGCAGAAATGATGATTTATAAATGTTAATTTAACAATTTAGTGATAGTCTAGTTTCTTTTTTCTCTTCTTTCAGGTAGTACCATTTTTGAAAATGCAGATTGCTAAATCAGTAATTCTGTAGATTTGGCAGCTTTGTGCTTGCTCCAGCGATTTGAAGTACTTTGAAATCCATTGTAATATAGCAGTGGGTGTCTGCAAGTAATTCCTGCTCAACTACACTCTCGAACCTGCTCTTGAACGTAACAGCGTGGGGGTATCAAGCAATAGCTTATGGTAGCCTTCCCTGTTTTCATGGTTATTGTTCGTTTATGGTATTGGTTAAGAATGAAAAAAATAAGAAAATGATAGTTTAATCCATACAAGTGCACAGTGAGCTTTAACTGTAGCTCAGAATACTATCACGTAGAGGGAAATATGATGGTGTATCTTGAAAAAATAATCTTTTAATCTGAGACCTCAAATACGGAAAGGTCTTAACCATTTTAACCTGATTAATGTGAATTCATAGCTGACTGTGTTTGGATTTACGACATGTAGCTTTAACTGCTGCACTAGTAACAGCTGATTTAGGGAGAATTACATGGCATCCACAGCATGTTTTCCTCTGGATTATCTATGTCTCTATACACGTGTGCATTGCTTATCAGTCATACTGAATGCTCTTACTGCACCATGTACACTTTTTTTTTTTTTTTTAATATCTCAGTTATCTCAAAGCTGCTTTTGGTGAAAATAGTTTCTGATTTAATTTTTGGCTACTTGAGGTAGCCTCTCTGTTACCATTTAGTCCTTGGAGTTGGGATCTATGAAAATGCTAGTAAGGATTTACTAAAAATAATTTTAAAAAATGAGGAAGGACTTTGTGCAGTCTTTGCATTTATTTCTTTCTCAAAATGATGTTCTCTTTAGTGGTCTCTGAGAATTAGTTTTGGAAAATGATATGAGAAGTCAATATAAACTCTGGTTGTAGCATGAGGTTCCCTGTGACTTTTAATATCTGGATGTGTAGTTCAGATGTTGTTTGACTTAAAGCCTTCTTATGTTATGCACATACTGTGTGATTTCAAAAGGGCTTATTGGAAACAGCAAACCTGCTAAATCATTAAGAACAAAGTACTGAAACCATATGGATCTTATAACATACCTATGGCCAACTTATTTTTACAATAAACTGTGCTTTTACCCACAGCTGATTTAAATTTACACATCTCCTTAGTGATTTCTATGTTGATCTGATTTATCTGAATATCTCTCATGTTCAGTTTTGTACAACTAAATACGTGTATCACATTTTTGTGTTTAAAGTATCTTTTAATATTGTTTAGTATTTAATCTTTCCTTTAATATTTCCTTTATCACTTCTCTCCTTCTCTCCTCCTACCCACCCCAACTCCATTTTTAGTGGAGAAAGTGAAAGAACAGTTGAAACTCTCTTTGGAAAACAAGAGTGGCATGGTGCAAACAGGTGAACTGACAGTTGTGCTAGATGGTTTGGTTGTTGAACAGGAATCTCTTACAAATCTCAGTTCACCAGCAACCAGTAAGTTAAAATAATTAAATCAGATGGTAATATTTTTATTAAGATTTCACACAGATATAATAGAATATTTCTTTTGAATTTGTTTCTTCCTGTTCAGTAGAAGTTCAGCAAAATGGTGACACCATTCATGAAAGCAGAGATGCTTCAGCAAGAAGTACATCCAGGTTAGAATTTATTTTTGTGTTTTATGTTCTATGAAATATTTTAGCAAATTTGTGAGTTGAAATGTTTGGGTTGTTTGTAAGTTTGGGGTTTTTAAAATTTTTTTGAAGGGTATAGATTTTAACTGTCAAGCTTTAAATTATGCTACTACAGGTTTTAGAAACATTGCTTGTATGTGCATAATTTAGTTTGACAAGAATTAAATTTACAACTCTCTTCTTCCTCTGGTGGTAGATTCTGCTCTCCACTACTCGATCATTGCCTCTTGGACCGTGTAGCCCTCTGAAAATAAAAATTCAACTGCTTGGAAGTCTGCTAAATGCTGCAGCAGAGATTAGGGGAGCAGTGGTTCAGTGTGGTTTTGTGTACTTGTTCCATATGTTTTCTTTTGCTGTTTGAGAACCATTTCTATTCACGTGTACCAACTTGTTGCAATGTACCATCTGAACGGAAGGAAGGCTTAGAAAATGCGTAGTTTACTTCCCCCTCACCCAGTTCCTTTTTAAGGTCATGATCAGGAAGTTGTTGAAGAGACTTGTATTGGGTTTAACAAGTAGCATTTAGAATGCTGCGGCAAAGGGTTTGCCTGCTTCAACCTGAAGTGGCAAGAAAAAAGCGTTTACAATCACTTTAGAGCTTCATTCTTGGCTTCTCTATACCAGCTCAAGGACTGCCTGGAGTGAAGTAGGACTAGATTGTTTTCCCCCTTGCCACTAGCGAGTCCAGTAGGTCAACATTCAGATCAATTTAATGTTACTGGCCTGCTCAGTTACCTTGCAGCGAACCCCTTTCCATTTGAGTTCTGGACACACGATGGGGTGAAAAAACCTACAGTTGCTATGCATTTGAGTGACAGGGGCACATTTGTCCTTCTGTGCTGGACTTGATTCTTTTTTTGCATATGTGGAGGTTTGTCTCTGTTCCCCCCGTGGGTGCCCAGTATGAGGGGGTGAGGATAGATAGTTACTTCTCCTTGGTTTTCTTTAGAAAGGTTTGACATTGTTAAAACTGATTTGAAACACATCTGCATACCATTTTGAAACAGTAGTAACAATCATTTGTTTTCATTCACCTATTATTCCTGGAGATGTGTCTTTTACTGGGATCCTGCTCTTGATGTGGGTATTTTGATAACAGCAGTTTTCCATACAACTATCCAGCAATTTTGATTTACAGTTTTAAAATTAAGAGTTCAAGAAAAGTTTCAAGGTGGCTTCTGTGAATGTCTTCAGGAAGCAAATTGTGTTTGTAGTCTAGAGTTGAAAAGGGATAATACTTTAATTCTTTGTTTACACTTCTGCTTTGGAGTTGGGTAAGGTAAGATGGAAATGCTGCTTCTTCCTTTCTTACTCTACAAAGTGGGACTTCTAACAATTCTCACATTTTTTGTCATCTGTTTAACTTCTCTTTAATTTATAGCCTCTACTCCTTGAGAAGATGGGGAGTTGGCATTGAATGTAGTTTTCACAATATGTGTCTCTGGTGTGTGGCTTTAAGCATTTTGGGATAGATTTAAGTAAAAACAGTGTAGCTGAACAAGACAGGCCCTTACAGTACATTTGTTTTCATGTGGCCTTATAAACACAGAGCTGCCTGTGTATATATATATCTGTCCCCACACTGTCCCAACCTGCCTATGCTTAGAGAAGCTCATCTTATTTTCTTTTTACTGAGAGAGTTTTGTTATTTTCTTATGTTGTGACTAGAATAATTTTTGGAGAGACAACAAACAAACCCAATTGTTCCACTTGCTTAATGAAAGAAAAAGTTTTCCTGCTCATAGCTGTGCTTTGGAAGGGTCCCTGAGGCACTTTTGGAAGATGTGAGAGGAGCATCAGTCTGCTCAACTCAATTCTAATACGTCATTACAAGTAAAAGATGAAGTAGAAACAGAAAATCTCTGTTCTGAGTATCTGAAATCCTCAAAAACAAAATTTGCCTTTTGTTCCTGAGTTGTCCGGTCTGGCACTTGACTGTTACCTAGGCTGCAAACATGGTGTTATAAACTGTTGTGAATTTACTTCCATTTCTTCATTTGTTTCTTTAGCGTGATTTAGTGTAGGATTTGGTTTAGTTGCATAAGTGTTTAACATGTTGTTTGTAGTAACCTTAAATGATTTTTTTTCTTCTTAACAAGATCTGCTTGTGACATTTCTAATGGGATAGACAATCAAGTACCTTCCAACCCTGTAGAACAGAATACATTCTGTAGAGAAGCTGTTAATGGAGACAGCACACCATCCCCTACTCACGTTGCAGCCAGACCCAAAAATACACCAGTACCAAAACCACTTGCAGCTCAGCCTGTCAACAGCACTGGTAAGAATGGGAAAGTTACAAGAACATGTTCCATAATGCTTCTTTTTCTGGTTGAAATGTATCTGAAGTTGAGCCGCTTTTTCTATACATTTTTTATTAGACTTCAAAAGTACTGAAAGGAAGTTTCTGGGCTTGAATTTATAATCTTGCGTGTTCACTTCTGTGATTTTTTCTGGAGTAGATCCATTCTTAAATGTACTAACTTTCATACTTACCCATCAGTTATCTTCTCTGATGAAGAAAGGTGTAAAGCATCCAAAACTTCCATTTCTCTTTCTCAAATGACTAAACTATATTACTGATTGTCTGGAGAAAAAATCAAAGTTCTTTCACAATTAATTTGAGTAACTATAGTTAAGTTTATTTTGCCATTAGATAAATCTGATTTTTAGTGCTGTCAGAGAGCTGTTGTGCTCCAGGTTGAGATGTGTTGCAGACTCCCTGCCTTCCATTTTTTTCATAAGGGTGTGCTGTTTCAAAATAGGGATTGGCAAATACTAAATTTAATTTTCCTCTTAAACACAAGAACTTTGATTGTGACTACAAGTAACATTCAGTATAGTAAAACAAGTGAAAAGAAAGTATTTTTAAATTTTTGTTCCTCTGGAAAAACTTTGCATCTAATTATGACTGTGCTTTCTAAACACTTTCTGCCTTTTCTCAGCTGTTTGAGAGAGATTACAGTGATAGCAGAGGAAGAAGATAACCTTAAATAGAAATAGGCAAGTAGAACAGAGACTATCAAACTTTCTGTAATAGAGCGGGAAATGGGGGTGTGGTGGGAAGATAGCAGAAACAATTATGAACTTTCAAAGGTGGTAATTAAATTAGGCCTTCTCTGAAGCTTTTCTCTATTTGGAGAACTCGAATTTTATTCCCCTCTCTTTTCAGTTGGAGGCCAGAGGGCAGATGTATTATTTAGGCATTGCTCCCTTTTTCTTCAGTAGTGGAGAGATCAATTTGAAATCTGTATTAGGATAGGGTAGTTGCAAAAGTAATTGATTTGTTCAAACAGTAATATTGATGATATTATCACTGAGCTTGCACTGAGGCTCTGATATCATGGTATTCAACTACTGTACCAGTTGGTAGAGACTTTTTTAAGGCAAGGCATAAAACAGATCTCCACCATTTGTTGATGACAGACTTTCTTTTTGCCCCCTCTGTTGTGCTTAGCAAGATTATAATTTCATGTGATGTTGTCAGAATTGCTGTTTTAGATTTAATTGGTGAGATAATTGGCTGATGTAATGTTTTATAGATCTGTTTTGGAGATCAGCTTACAAAAAGAGCTGATGATTTGTCAGTTATTTTGCTTCTAACTTTGTTATGTAATCTCATTCACTCTTTCATGTAAATTAATTAGTGGGTTTTCTTAATGAAAGCTGAAACTTCAGTTGGCTTTTTTCCTGCTTAAGTAAAATTGTTGCTGGTTAAGGCAGAAGTTTCAAGCAACTTGATCGGATTGTCTGTAGTGTTTTTTTTTTTTTTTTATGTCATGCTTTACATTCGCTTTAGGTAATGCAAAGTCTTGACATGTCTTAATGTAGTTAACCTGTTTTGTGTGAGCTGGAGGTAGTGATGTGTTACTCTGGAATAGTTGTGTTCAAAAAGCAATGCCTTTACAGATGTTACAGATCTGCTGCAGCTTGTAAAATCATGCTTATCATTATGCATATCAGGAAAATATTTATGGCCCAGTGATAATCCTTAATAAAAGTGACTCTCTAATTTAAATACATTGCTGATGACTGTTTTATTGTTTGTAATTCTTTGACCTGCTTTTCTGACCAGTTGGGAAAGCAAGAAATTGCTGACATTATAGACATATTGCAAGTAGTAAGTAGAATCTAGCCATTTTTTTATTTGTAAGAGTGTTATACAGAATTAAAGTAAACGAACTCTTTAAAATGATGGAATAGCATTTTACAGGCAGTAGTTTAGGGTTAAATTTTGCAAATCTGTATCAATAAGGTTATGAGTATAGAGCGATTGTATTGGCCTCAGTCCTTAGAATTTTAAGCTGATAGTATGCTGTTATTAAATTAACTTGAAGCCTGCGTTGCATATTACATTTAGTCTTGTAGAAAAATAGTTCCTACTCTAGAATAGGTACAAACTGATGAGTTTAAATAGAACTTTTACTGTCTGGTGTTGATTAGTGGGGCAGAAAATGAAAGCCGTGAATAAGGTTGCACTGCTTTTAATAGGACATGGACTTCTAGTGGGGGTCCTGCTGATTGCTGTACCTGATTTTGCTTGTCTAAGGCTAGATCTTGTTATGCTGAGATACTGTTTTGTTAAGCTCTGCAGATGATTGCTATTGGTGTATTGTTGGCCAAGTGGGCTTGCAAGTAATAAAGCCTTCTTAGACCCCTTTTCCTGCTAAATCCATGCCTGCTTTAAACCTTTTATGAGATTATGCTTGCTGAAGTTGGATGACATTTGTATTGTTCTTTAAAAGATAGAAATTGATTTACTTTGTGATTCTAAAATAATTTTCTTCAGTCATTGAACTATGTAAGTTATATTAGCCAAATACTAATTTTCATATTTTAATCTTGCTTTTGGAAGGGGATATTTTTTTTCCCAAGTCACACACAGGTGGTTTTTGCTTAATTCTAGGGTTCTATATCTCAACTCTGAAAAAGGAAAAAAAATAAACTGTGAGAACTGCTGCTTAGTTTTCCATATTTCATAGAGTTATTTATCTCTTTTTTTTGATGTCATACTAATCAACGTTCTTTAAGTTGATATAAGTTCAAAGTTTCAGAGCAAATAAAGCAGTACTGTTTTCTGGGAAGCAGATGGGTACCTTTTGCTAATCTAAAGAGTAAGGTATAACGTTGAGTTGACCAAGATATGCAGAAACTAAGAAATCACCTTAGCAGGGAAGTGTGGTGCATGGCTTGCACACTGTAAGTTTTAATTACAACTTTAACTGAGGCAAGTGCATTGTGATTTTTTGTTATCTTAGACAAAAATGCTGCTTTTGGCATACAGGTGCAACTGAAACTTATTTCTTCCATGTTGTTTACTCCAAAAGTTGGTCATTTTAAAAGTAAATCTCATCAGATTATGATACCCAAATTTTCTTATTTCCCATTTCTCAGTTAACGGCGAGTCATCCGCCTCTGCACCAGAAGCTGGTAATTCTTCTGTCTCTGAGGCTCCGATAGGTTCAGCTGAACCTCCCGTGTCTTTAGATTGCGCTAACACTACAGCAGAACCTCAGTCAACAACAGAAGCAACTAGTTGTTCTGAAAGCCACACTTCTGCGTTACCTGCTGTGTCTGCTGGACTAGAACCTTCAGCTGTAACAGACTGTGCTCAACCTAATGTTAGAAACAGTACAGCAGCAGACGCAGCGAAACCAAGGGAATCCTCCTCCACTTCAAGTGCTTCTGCAGAACCTGTAAGACAGCAGCCTGGTAGTGCCAGTACGGAACCTCTGCCACCAGGGTACGTGGGCTTGATTTGAATGCTGTAATTATGTTTCGTCTGAACATGTGTATAAAGAAACAGAAATTTAATTCTATACTGGGATTGACAAATGCAGGTCAGTTGGCTGAGACACGGTGTTACTTATCTAAAGTGGGGTTTGTACTCCGGCTATAACTGGCTAGTAGCCTGTCATAGGAAGTAACAACTGATAACTGGTTTGCTGAGACAGTATCATGATCTAAATAGACAAACTCTTGGGCATTATGGACATGAAGTCTTTTCATTTGATATTCAAACTTATTTAGGTCATAATTTGTTACTCCTTTTGTTCTTGACATATGAGAAAGTAGTAGGGACCAAAATATAGAGAAGTGAAAATTAATAAAATAGTCTAGAAATATTTGTAGTTGCGTGCTCTGTAACAATGAGACCAATAATGTTACAGATAAAAATACAGATTTGAAATGCATGTATGTGCTCAGAATAACTAGAAACTTTTAATTCTACTAGACTGTGAGAAATTACTTCTGTAATCCTAAACCTTAAATGCAAAATTAAAGATGTGCTTAGACTTTAGGTGAAAATATAGTACATGCTTAAATGTGTATATTGATCTTAAATTTTTTTTATAGATGCTTTCATGTTTGGGTGAAAAGATGTTTTCAGTAACTAATTGGAAAAACTGACATTTCTGAAATATTCTAAATATTAACTATTTTAGCATTTTCTGAACATAGAAATTGTTTCTTACCCAAAGCATATATACCTTGTGTCACTGTAGCTGATCTTTCAGAGGGCCTGTCTTGTGCCTGCTCCCTCTGAAGAAGGTTCAGTAAGTTGTTAGTGACACTTCACTTGAGTTTCTGCAGTTTGATAAACGTGAAAACAAGCATCTAAAAAGTTAAAAATATTGTATATATACTGTTGGAGAAGAGTTATAAATTTTTTAATTTTCAGATGCCTTGACAATGGAAGCTGTTTATAGGTGGGAATTCCTGTGGTCATCCCCACTCCACACACCCTTTTTTTTTTTTTATTTTAAATTAATTACATGTGAAACCGGGTCATGAGTTCCAGGCATAGTGCACACTGTGGCCAAGTGCATTTCTTCATCGTTCCTCCCTGATCACATTTCTGTGGGTTTTTTTTTTGCTGTTCCCCACACTCACTCCATCAACCCAACTCCCCAGCCCGAAAATCTAGTTGAGTCTCCATGATGTTTAGCCCTAGTAACTCTGTGACATGCTACTGGTCCTCTCTTATCTCCTTGTAGTCGTGGCATTTAACCTCTTCAGCTGCAGAAAACATTTTGTAGGAGTTTTATAGAATACTTTGTAATAGTGAGGAACTATGAGTAGCAGGCGAGGTGTTCTGCCTACGTTTTTAGGAGCTAATTAATTATGTATGTAAGAAAAATAAACATATATCTAATGCAAGCAAGGGCTTCAGCTTTTAGTCTAACATTTATCCTGGTTTCCTTTCCCATTTATGAATACTTTTATTGCATTATGACAGTTCTCAGCAGCATGAAACTTAAGTTGTTGTAATATTAGGTCCTCTCTCCATCTTCAATGTAAGTTTGCTTTGCAACTAAAACTGAAGAAATAATCCCAGGGATATTAGATAGAGAATTTAACAGGATAGTAAATAGAAACACAGGAAAACCATCTGATAGCACACATTTCAGGTTCACTCTGAAAGATCCTGTTGTTGATTTGGTGTAGGGAGCAGTGCTTCAAAATGTAAACTCTCTCTTTTTTTTGAGAGAGGCATGTACTTGGAAATGCAAATAATGCATGTCTGATGGTTTTGAAATAGGTTATTTTAGCATCCAAGTCTTGAGCATATAATTAATTGACTTTATTTTCAGATATCTTAAGTAGAACTTGAAAATGCTTGAGAATATTGATGTATGCTGGTTTTATGGACCAAGTCCCTTCAAGAAGTCTTTATGGTGATAACAGTTCAAGTAGGAAGTAACTGATATATATTCTAGTGTGAGTTCTCTTTAGTGTTTTAGAATGAGTTTTGGATCACAGTATTTTCATTCAATACCAAGGTATTTTTTGGCTTAGTGGGAAATAAGTCCTAAGGAAGCATTTTCACCTTGACTTACAAGAAAGTCTTTTTCTCTTGAAGGTGGGAGCAAAGAAAGGATCCTCATGGTAGAACCTATTATGTTGATCACAACACACGAACTACAACATGGGAAAGACCACAGCCATTACCTCCTGGGTAATGTAGACTTTTTTGATTTAAATATGATAAAGGTACTATTTTTGGGTTGGTTTTTTTTTTGGTTTTTTTTTTTTTTTTTTTTTTTTTTTTTTTGTGCAGGAAAAATTACAAGCTTTAATAAGCAGCTCATTGAAATTGTATCATGCCTCATATATTCAGAAATTCTAGCTTTCAGTTAATTTTGAATGATATTAATTGCACCTGTTGTCATAAGAATGCTGGTACTGTATATGTTTGGTCTGCTCACTTGTTCAAGTACAGTTACTGAATTATTTTTTTCTTCCTTTAAAGCTTAAGCATTAGCGAATGCATATTTGACCACCTTTATTTAGGTGGCACTGCTAGATGTAGTGCGCTGGTTTCAGACCTCAGATTTCCAGGCAAAGTGTTTTCTGTGAAACCTGCCAATATTGCTTATGGTCAGAGTTAAAAATGAGGTGACAGAGAGCTGGCCATGCTATTGCTTGAAGTCTGTGTTTGCTCAATGTGGTTGTCCTTCTACCAGTAAAGTTGGGGACTACTTTTGTGTACTTCAGAAATTAAAATCGTGGCAGTGACTCTAGTACTTCATTCAAGTACTGTCTAGGGACTTAGCATGAAGAGAAAATTAGTGATGTAATATTACTGAAAAATTTAGCTGTTAACATTTGTGTTTCTTTAAAGCTGGGAAAGAAGAGTTGATGATCGTGGGAGAGTTTACTATGTGGACCACAATACCAGAACAACAACGTGGCAGCGACCAACAATGGAGTCAGTCAGGAACTTTGAGCAATGGCAATCTCAACGGAATCAACTGCAGGGAGCTATGCAACAATTTAACCAACGATACCTCTATTCGGTAACTTTTACACAGAATTTAGAAATTAGTATAGAGGTATAGGTATACGTTTTGTTCTTCAACTTTTTTTTTCTGAAGTGATTTTATAACTATTCAACCATACGTGTTACGAGGTGTTTGGTATCAGTAACTCAGATTCTGATTCTGTTGAAAAATGTTAACAAAAAGTCATCCTTAAAGGCAAAAAATACTCCCTTCTGAGTCTGTTCCCTAACTTGAGCCTTGTGTACTTCATGATACTTAAGACTTTTAATTTCCATAACTGAAAAGGAATGTAAAAGCTGCATTATGGGCATTTTGAACATTAAATGGCCCTCAAAACTGTTTTAGTGATTAGAAGTCATTAATTAGTACAGGTGGCAATGCTTTTACTTTAAACTCATTTTGAGGCTTATACATCTGGTTCAGCTCTAGAATCTCCTACGTGGTTTTCCATTTCTCTCAGATAGTTGCTCATTTACTTATGCCTGAAGAAAGTATCATGAGTACCTTCAAAGAAGATGTTTATTGAGTCAGATTTTTCCTGTCTGTGGCTGGATAAATAGGATAGTTGCTTTTTAAGACTAAAGAATGATGGTGCCTACATGTCACTGTAAACTATCCATTTTAAGAATTGTGCTTAGTCTCTTAAAAAAAATCCAGTCTCAGAGGCTTCATGAGTGATATATAGCAAAGCTGGAGTGTTTTAAAGAAGAGACCATTGACGTACAGTCTGAAACAGCCTCGTTGGACTTGGACTCTGTGTATCCACAGACCTAACTTTGCTTTGAATTTGATAGACTTTATTCAGGTACCCCTCTGAAGTAAAGGACGCTGCAGTATTCTTACATTTAACAGTTCTCAGCCTCTCCTTATGTAATTAGACATTACATCTCATCACTAGCAATAGCAGAAACATACGTCACTGCGAATTTTCTTAACTCCTGGAGCTGTGCATCAAGGTCAATTTATCTTGCGCATTAGATAAAGATAGAATGGTCGAGGTTGTAAGGGACCTTTGGAGCTCATCTGGTCCAACCCACCTGCTCAAGCAGGGCCACCTAGAGCCAGTTGCCCAGGACTGTGTCCAGATGACTTCGAAGTATCTCTAAGGATGGAGACTCCACAGCCTCCCTGGGCAACCTGGGTCAGTGCTCGGTCACCCTCACAGTGAAAAAGTGCTTCGTGCTGTTCAGAAGGAACCTCCTGTGTTTCAGTTTGTGCCCATTGCCTTGGTCATGACACTGGTCATCTTTTTGCATCCTCCCTTCAGGTACTTATACGCATCAGTAACTTTTGATGCAAACTGAAGAATAACAGCTGGAATATATATCAAGCCTAGAACTCTTGCTGAGCAACTTTCTGTACTTGTGTACTACTTTGGCCAGTTGCTTAAACACCTAAGAAAACTCTCAGTTTTCCTGATTCTAAGATTTATTTTGGTTTGAGCTAGATTTATTCTCTTAGGGAACAATATTTTTTTAGATTAAATTATGTTTCTTTTTTCATTTAATGATAACTCTTACTGAAAACCACAGACTTATTTCTTAAAATGTCCCATCTGACCATCGGATCATTAAATTAGGATTTGTTTGTGAGACAGAATAGACTTGAAGGAAAAGATAACTTGACTGTTTGCATCTCTTTGGAATTCTAAGTAGTGTATCAGTTGCATACCTAGAACTCACATTTTGTTGGAGAAAAAAAATTGAAATTATGTTAAAAAAGGTGTGATTTTGTTTGTTTGTTTGTTTGTTTCCTTTTGTGCTGCTATATACTTTTCTTCCAGAATTGTTAAGGTCAAACTACAGCTGACTTTTCCTGCTCTGGTGACATACCAGGTCTCTGCCTATACAGCAGTTTATAAGTGAGATTATAATATACTTTTTGGGAAAAAGTGAATTAATACTTTTAATGAGTAAGAGAATGTTTTGGTTACCTTGAGTATTCAAAGCTAAACTATGTCAATGAAGAAAAATGGATAGGATATAGTGATTTTAATTACTTTTATTTTTACCTGGGTTAATATATTGTACTCCTTTTAGCATTGAGTCTGGCTCATCCCATGCCACTGCCTAGTGTTTCAGTGTGGTCTGTTAAATATACATTAGCCAGCAGCCACACACAGATCCTTGGACCCATTAAGAAGATAAGAAATCTCTGAGTTGTGCCACCATTCAGTTCTTTGGCAAACAGCATTTTCTGCTGTGCACTATTCTTCTTATACTCACCGCAGAAGTCTTTGGTTACAGGGTCATTGTGACTGGATACTTTCCAAAAGCAGAAAAGGTTAACTGCATTTGCTGCTGAGATAATGATAATTCTCTGTTCCCATCTAGTAGCTGGTGGCTAGAACAAAGAGGCAGCTTGATTTTGAGTGTAACTATAGCATTTACTTCTGATCTTTGCTCTGTTTCTGTTTCACAGGGAAAATGTCGTAGCTTATTTTGCCTGAATTTGCTTTTGTAAACTCTTAAGTGGATTTGAGATTTTTGGATTGCAAATGCTATATAAAGCGGTATTGGTAGCACAGTGATCCTTAAGATACTCTTTGGAAAATGTAGATTGGTTCCCATATATCAAAATTCCATTCTGCACTGCCCCGCCCCTCCCCCCCCCAAAAAAAAAAAAAAAAAAATAAAGGCATTTTAGCATTCCAAAAAATTTGTGAGAGGGATCCTTTTAGTTATAAATCAGAGCATGGATCCTGCAGTCTGGGGAATTTCTGCCTTTTACATTCTATTTTTCACATGCTTTGTATTCTTGGGAGCTACTGGGGGACTTCTGCAAATTAACAGTGTATTACAAGCTTAGTATTGTTTTACATAATAATTTAATCTGGTTTTTTTACTTTTTTTTTTTCCTTTTAATCTTACTGTGTGTTGGTATAATTTTAAACCATCCCCATATTTTAATGATTGCAGCTGCATTTGCAAAGAATGACAAAAGTCTGAAAATAGCCAGGCATCTGGGGAAGACAGTGTATTGAGGAAGCAAAAATCCTATGTTGGCAGTAAACATTGTGCTTGGAAATGTTTATTATGGTAAAGCATGTTCTTAAGCAAGAACATTGTGCTTAACTGCTTACACGTGCTCTCTCAAGTTTGCTGTGGAAGGGGAAAAGAAGGTACATTGTGTTGGAAACAGTGGAGGCAAGTGGACAAGTCGTATCTTATTGATATAATTTATGTTTCTTCACAAAAAAAACAGACTAAAAATGGCTTGATGTTTTCTCAGAATGGATAGTCTTGGTAATCTTAAAACACATTAAGGAAAAAAATATGAATAATATTTGGCCTAATTGAATGTCCTCTTGTTTTCAAATAGGCTTCGATGTTGTCAGCAGAAAATGATCCTCTTGGGCCTTTACCACCAGGCTGGGGTAAGTTAGTTAGCTGTTGATTTCAGGAAGTTGACAGTTACAGAAATTTGGAATACAATTGCTGTATAGTGTTTTTTTTTTTTCTTTTTTTTTCCCCTAGAAAGGAGAGTGGATTCAAATGATAGGGTATATTTTGTAAATCATAACACAAAGACAACACAGTGGGAAGACCCTCGAACTCAAGGGTAGGTGTGTATATTGACTGTGCAGATAAAAAGATCTTGCTTAATTCTTGTATGTTGTGATATGGGGGAAAAAGTACTGTCTACAACTTCTTCTGCAGTTTACAGAATGAGGACCCCCTTCCAGAGGGCTGGGAAATCAGATATACCAGAGAAGGTGTCAGATACTTTGTTGACCATAATACAAGAACCACCACCTTCAATGATCCTCGTACTGGGAAATCTTCTGTGTAAGTGAGAATTTAAATATATATTTTTTACATTTTAACTTGCTTAACTAGTTTAATAATGAAGTCTTCTCATACTAGAAAACAACCTATACTTTTAGCTGGAATTGAGCACTAAATTATGAATAAATTGTTTTCTTGTAAATTTAATATATTTTTAATCTTTGTCAGTTTATCTATGACACACTGCTGTACTACTCTAAGGTTCAATAGTTTTTATACTCTTTTCAAATACCAAGATTGTAATTGTTCTATGAATAGAGAGGGGAAGTGAGGTAAGCTTGATTAGTGAACTAATGTAACTAATAGTTAAATTTTTAAAGAAACAACAAAAAGTTATAGTGAATATTGCTTATAGTTGTACATTAATGTCTAAAGAAAATAGTTCAAATTCTTTTCAAAAATTCTACATGCAGATCTTTTTAAAAATAGTTTAGTCAGAAGTATTGACCCAGCCTATGGTGGCTGTCTTAATGTCTTTTAGGTGGGGTAGGGCTTACTTCTCATGGCGTGTTGATGGCCTTTCATTTAAAGAGCCTATAGAGTATTGCACTAGAACTTCCTTCACAGTTCCGCAAGCAGATGAATATATTAAGCCTAATTTAGCAGTCTTTCTCTCCGTGAAGACAGTAAATTAGATGTCTCTCCTTTAGCTGGCTTGTAATTTGTACAAGATTGATAGGGATTTGAAATCCTCTAGACTTCTACCTTTCTCTCAAGTTTGGTAAATTGACTAGCATCTTAAACAAACAAACAAATAAATAAGTGGGGGCAGAAAGGAAGACTGGCAGACCAAACCATCAGTTGCATTTTATTTCTTATCATAACTTACTGTAACATTTTTTGTGTATTTTTGAAATCCACATGCTGTTGTTTAGCATCGAAACTACTGTTTGATGTCTGTATGGTTAATGTATCTCAAATATATTTCCTTACAGAAATAAAGGGCCACAGATTGCTTATGAGCGTAGCTTTAGGTGGAAACTTGCTCATTTCCGTTACTTGTGTCAGGTACTGATTAAGTAATTATTTACTTTTTGAAACTATTTGAATTTACATTTATATATGCTGTCTATTAACGTTATTGCCTTATGATTACAGTCCAATGCACTGCCAAGTCATGTGAAAATCAATGTATCCAGACAGACTTTGTTTGAGGATTCCTTCCAGCAAGTAAGCCTGCAAAGATTGTTGTGTTTGTTAATGAAGACAAAGCATAAGAACAGGAATGGCCATAGACAGTTCAGACTAATGGTCCTTCAGGCACAGTAATCTTCCTCTGGTATTAGCCAAAGGGGGATTCTTAGGAAGACTGTAAGAACATATATAGCATTTTAACAAATGGTCTTTCAGCTCACAACTGTTTACAGTTAAAATGCTTCTTGAGCTTGATGTGGTTTCTGGGTACTTAATAATCCTCAAGGGACTTCTGTGAGCTTGTCTGTGCTCCTCTTGTGAACTTTTTGCACCTACAGCATCCTCTGGTGAAGATTTCCCTAGCTTAACCACATTGCATACCATGTTAATTTAACTACATCGGGTTTGCTTTTCTGATTCCTGCATGTGGTTATATACATTACAAAATGTTGTTTTCTCCAATTAAAACTGGTGTCCCACTTTGTCCTTCAAACGTTAAAGCTGTGTAATTGAAGCTTACAGTTCTTGAGCTGTTAGAGTCTGCAGCCAATATATGTTCCTTCCTTCTTCTCTGTAAAAATCACAATTCTTGCCACTGTCACCACTTCAAAACCTTCTGGGAAGGATTCTCTATAAGTAAAAAGTATATTTTTAATGAAAGTATATTACACCTATTTTGGATTAAATTACTTTTTTAAGTGATTTGCCTAACGCTAAAAATCTGTAATATATCAGATGAAATGCCTTTTCATCTGTTTTCCTTTAATGAAAATGAATGCCTTAGGAGGGGCAACCATATAGCGATACTTTCCATATGTGCTCTCCTACTTGTTAGCAGTCTGCTGCTCAGGATTTTAGGTCTGAGTTTGTAATTTTGTGTGCAGTTCATTGGTGGCATGTTCCGTGAGTTGGTCTAAATGCTTGTCAAATATGTGTAAACATTTGACATATATGGCATTTCTGTATCAATTAAATAAAATCTGAATAAGAAGGAGTGATGGTATTGACAATGAATAATTTATAACTTATTATTTTTTTATAGATTATGGCATTAAAACCCTATGATTTGAGGAGAAGATTATATGTTATATTCAGAGGAGAAGAAGGATTGGATTATGGTGGCTTGGCAAGGTAAAAGAAACTTTGTTTAAAATAGTCTTTATTTTTTTAATAGCACTCTAACCTTGATTTCTGATGTCATTATGTTGGCAAAGAAACTTCTTGCTTTTGCAGTCTGTCTCTGGTTACCTTTTTAGCTCCCCTTAATGTATTAAGGAGGTGGAACTGGCAGCACGAGGAGAAGAAGGATTGGATTATGGTGGCTTGGCAAGGTAAAAGAAACTTTGTTTAAAATAGTCTTTATTTTTTTAATAGCACTCTAACCTTGATTTCTGATGTCATTATGTTGGCAAAGAAACTTCTTGCTTTTGCAGTCTGTCTCTGGTTACCTTTTTAGCTCCCCTTAATGTATTAAGGAGGTGGAACTGGCAGCACCTGGCTATTGTTATGGCTTGTAACCTTGCATTAGTAAAACTTTAGTCTTGGTTCTTCAGTTCTTTGACAAAGATTGATGTTTAAATTTGAATTTTTTAATGCCAGCTAATTGCTCTAGACTGAGTTATTTCAGAAACTTTCTATCAGAAAGTTCCACTTTCCTGGCAGTGAGGACTGTGGAAAAAATAAAGTGTTTTGTTTATTTGGAAAAAAAACGAGCAAACACCAGATTGTGGCTGATATGAACAGAAAGGACATAAAGAAGAAGAGAATAGTGCAGACATGAACTAGCAGCAGACAGATGAACTAAGTAGGCTGCACAGGAATGTGAAACAGCTAGACTACAGGTTTTTCTAGTATCTGAAGTAGAACTTGGAGGAAAAAATCTGATAACAGTAAAACCATAGAAAAAACGTGTTTCACCTGTTGACCGTATAGAAGACAACCACTGACTACTTCTGACAGTTACTTGACTGAAAAGTTACTATTAGGATAAAATTTCAGTACTACTACAGATCCAGGGAATTAGAAGTAGTCATAGGGGATAGAGTTTTTTGTGTTTGGTTGTTTTTTTTTAATGTAAAGGTGTTCTCTTTTAGTTTTCTTCTGGTTTTATGTAGCTTACTGTCTTAAAATTAAGGTCAGTGAAAATGTTTAGTATTTGTAAGTAACGAAGCTTGCCTCAAAAGGGAGAGTTTCTTTAGATAAGTGGGTGGTTATGCTTCTGAATTACAATATCTCATAGGCTTTTGGGGGGTGACTGCAGAGAGGAATCCAATTTTTGCTTTGCATGAGTTTTGTTTCGTTGATGTCCCTCTCATGATGGCCCTAGGCATAGGGTGGGAACTAGGAGAGTTCAAGGAGTCTGTTCCAGAGAAACAAAGTAGTCCAAAGAAGTGATGTTAGGATAATTTAACTGAAGAGTGTTAGTCAAGAAACTAGCAGAATAAATAAATAGCTAACAAATACATAAGTAGTACATTTTCATAGTTTCATTAATAAGTCTTGCTCAAGATTTTGTATGTGAAATTGAGAAGCAGCAAGGATCTCATTGTAACTTGAGATGAGAATTCTTAAGTGACACTGAGCAAATGTTCATGTACTGACTTGCTAATGTAATACTGCATTAAGACAAATATAGAAAGCTGATGCACCAGATTTATAACCTGTCTCTCAGCAGACTAAACTCAGTATTCCCTTCAAGATTTTTACCTTTTGTTTAGCAGGACCAATCTGACACTGTGTCCTGTGACTAGTTGTAGCTGTTGATGTGAAAAATTCATTGCTTCTGCAAACTTCTTGTTCATGACTGATTTCTTTGATTCCTCCGTTGTTACCTGGTTTTGATCTAATTTAAATGCCTTTTAAATTTGATGCTTCTATGCCAAGTTAGTATAATTGTCTCAGTACAAAACTTGCATAGAACGCTGTACAACATTGTTGTGCTTATTAAAAGATACACAGAACCCCATTAGGGTCATTGTATCCTAGCTGCCTTTCACTATTTACTCTTTCTTCTTGGCCTTTGGGTTGGAAGTGCATCATAGCAAATTCATGACTTTAGTTTCATAGAACTGTTAGGAGAAATATGCCAGCAAATCTCTCATTTGTATTCCCTGATCTCAGGTAAATATAGGGATAGAAACAATGCCTCTTAAATGTGACAGCTGAAAGGCAGTGAGGATGGAATTCAGTCCCTGCAGTTATTATAGAATATACTTTTAGCTTTTTTTGCGGCTTCTCCCTAAGCCTGGTTGTTCAGTTCCAAGCACTTAGGGCCTGATACAAAAACTCCTGAGTATATATGACTGCTTCTGAGGGCTCTCATTATATGCAAATACTATAAAGCAACAAATATTCTAAAAATCAGCTATCCTAACACTGAAATACCAGATTATGTTATTATTTCAGGTCAGATGAGTTGGAAACTATGAAAGTGGTGAATTACGTGTATTAGTTAAACCTCAACAAAAATGTATTGTCACATTGTCATGTCCTGTGGGCTGAACTGGTGCATGGTAATTTGCTAAACCACAGCAACTCAGTGTGTATTCTGCTGTCAGACTGGGGAAGCAAATAAGGTGTGCTGTGGTTTGGGTTTTCTTTGTTTTGTTTTGTTTCATTTTGTTTTACATAGGGGGTTTATAAGCACTGCCCATGGAATAACCTATAATCTTTTTGAATAAAGATTTGAGTTGTATACAGTAGAGCAGGCATGAGGAGGATAAATACTGTGGACTGGTTGAGGCGAGGACTCTGTAGGCAAAAATGTTACTAACATGCAGCTCAGACCTGTGCTATGAGGGTGTGTTCAAGGTGACAAACTTAACAATAATTTCTAAACTTTGGAAACCATGAATTTCTAACATTGTTGTTTTTAATAATGATTTTTTTTATATTTAAGAAGTGTATAATGCCATATATTATTCTGTGATTCTAACAGAACACTGTATTACTTTTCTACGTTTACTTATATTTTGACCATTTTGCTAGTTACCTAAGAGGAATGGTGATAAACATCTGTATTTGATGTTTTTTATGTGTATACATGTTTTTTTTCCTTAGAGAATGGTTTTTCTTGCTTTCCCATGAAGTACTGAATCCTATGTACTGCCTATTTGAATATGCTGGCAAGAGCAACTATTGCCTGCAGATAAATCCAGCATCAACAATCAATCCTGATCATCTTTCATATTTCTGTTTCATTGGGCGCTTTATTGCCATGGTAGGTTAGATTTTTAAGGTTTTATTATTTGCTGTAGCTATACATTTATTCCTGAACAGTGTTTGTTTTTACAGTTATTATTAATCTCTTAGAAGTGGAAGATTAAGGCATGTAAGGTTATTGAGCCAAATAACCTTCTCTGAGAGTTAAGTCTCTACACGCTCAAGTTTCGTGGGAGAGTAATGAAAGTTAATATAACATTCAATATAATATTTTGTTTTTATCAATTGGATGTGTGTACTTTATGCAAACTGTGGTTTGATTGAGTGTCTGAATACTGATGCTCTGAGAAATATGACTAGTATTTTCTGAAAAAGGCTCCTCAGTTAGACTTAGTATACCTTACTGTATTAGAAAAAGAAGTAATGTGTGGTGTACAGTGAGCCTTAATTTAAACATATGTGCATGAACACAAAGGTCAGATACTGAGGAGAGCAGAAGCTGGCAGGGAGCTGATTCTCTGCCATCAGATTTCTCTTAAACTACAAGCTGACGAGGCATGTTGTATCACTTTTTCTTCTGGTATCACTGAGTCAGTTTTCTACAGTGGACTCCTGCTCTGTCACATTTCTTTCCTTCCATGTAGTGTTACAGTCATCTTTCCACATAATCATCATGATATCTACAGGTAGCCCTCAGCAACATCCCTGAACCTGATGAATAGTGAAACCAAAAAAGAGTAGATAAAAGTGTATTTTCAGATTTAAGAGACTGTAGTCTTCTCCTGTTCAGGCTTTTTGTATGAAATTAGAAAAAATACAAGCAAAGTGTAGAAATAGAAAGAAATAGAATAGAATAGAAAAATACTTTCAAATTTAAAATAAGTTAGGTTTGGGGGTTTTCTGGGTTTTGCTTTTCTTATAGATGCTTTTTAAGAAACAATTTTTTTCAATTCTGATGATAACATCTCTGATTTTGAGTATTTTATGGAAAAGTTCCTCATTTCTGTGCTGTCGTGAAAATGTATGTAATTGGGTTAAAGCTGTGAACTTTTTCTTTCTTTTAGAATGCTCAGCAAGCTATAGTGCCTTAGCAGGAAGGTGGGATAAAACCCATTAGGTTCTAGAGCCAAATCCTGCTTCTTTTAGTTGGTGATTTTTGATCTTGCACATAAGATAAATCCATAATTGAAATGTTAACTTTAGGGAAACTACTTCATAAAAGTACAGGTCATAGAAGAGAACTTAATTATAGTATTTAGTGTAATTAAAGGACAAACTTTTCTTTCATTAAGTATTTTTGTATTTTTACTTTAAATTCTTTACGAGGGGCAGGAGAGAGAGACCTGTGTAATCTGCCTCCTGGTCGGTTGCAAGGTTTGAGTATATTCATGGTTTAGAATGGATGGCACTTCCTACAGTACTTCCTGAGATACCTTCTAGTGGCTCAGGTAATAATGAAGTGGGAATCATTTTAAAGGACTTTAGATAGGCTTTTTAAGTGCAATTGTAGTTTCTGTCCTCACAGTTCTAAAATAGTCGTGGTTTTCAGATCATAAAGACTTCTTTTGGTTTTAAGTACTGAAATGACCGCAGACATTTTCAGCTGAAATGGAGTTAAACATAAAGAATACGTCTTTCTCTGTAACAAAAAACTGTTAAATGAGGTTGGCTGAGGCAACTTTTGTATTCTGCTGTAAGATTATCATATACATTAAATGAGGTGATTTAAGAGCTTACTTTTGCAAAAAGCAGGAAATCATATGTCTGGATACTGCACCTGACATTGAATTTTTCCATTTCTCTCTCGCAGCTCACTCTCCCATGAGAAGTATAGACGAGTTTAAAAATAAAAACACAAACAAACAAATAAATAAATAAATGCCTCTGAGAGAACCTTTTTAAGCTCTCCTAAAGCAGAAGAAAATGCATACTAGAGTAAGCCTTAGGGGGGAAATCAGAAGGCTGGGAGAAAAGATGGAGCCTTGCCTTTTTCTGGAGGAGATGGGCCATTACATCGGCTCTGCTGCTCATAGAATTTCAGCTGTAAGGAAGGACAAGCAATGAATGTCATACACCTATGTTTAGGATGATTTTTTAAAGAGATATTTTAGTGAAGAAAGTATACTTGATAAGGATGAGGACAAAAATGTTTTCATAGTTATAGCTGTGCTCTGTTAGCTCTCAGACGCACTGAGTCAGTATAGAGGTTAACACTCTGTGTGTGTAATGCTGTACTTCAGTACCAGAAATTATCTTACACCCTTTGTGCATGCTTGGTGAGACAAGTGTGACCACTTTTTTTTTTTTTTTTCCAATTTCATTTTTGCAGTAGAAGGGAGAATCTCATTTCTCAGCTCTCTTACACACCTATAAAAATGTGATTCCCAACGCTCTTTCCGAAGCAGTCTGTGATTGAATTTTTAAAACTGTTTTTCATGAGCTGCGGTAGCGTTGTATAAATTGTATAAAGGATGATTTTGCAAGATGTATGTATGTAGTAAAAATGGCAGTAGTACTCAAGCACGATCAAATGGGATCAAATAACTCTTGGCATGTATACCTATCCACATAATCAAGAGGAAACTCAGTAATGTCCTCTTTTCATAGACTTCATCCTTTTATGAGAAGATTTTTTTTTAATCAAAGAATTTCTAAATTGTAATGATAACATATGCTTGAATAAATTTTGTAAATTAATAATTTTTTTTCTCCCCATTTAATGTAATGCTTTGTTCTTTTTTAAATACCAGGCTGCTACTGCTGCTTGGTGCTTTTTATTATTTGAAGGAGAAAGGAAAAAAAAGAATTCAAGTCCTGAAATACTTCAGTAATTCAGTAGTTCAATAAAAGATAAACAGACCTTTTTCTGTTCAACAGGCATTGTTTCATGGGAAATTTATTGACACTGGTTTTTCTCTGCCTTTCTACAAACGAATGCTGAGCAAGAAACTTACTATTAAGGACCTAGAATCTATTGATACTGAATTTTACAACTCCCTAATTTGGATAAGGTTTGTAGATTATTTGTGTGTGTGTGTGTGATGTTTTATGGATTTTTTTTTTTGTTTATATAGAATTCATTGTTTTTTTCTGTTTTCATTCAGGGATAATAACATCGAAGAGTGTAACTTGGAGATGTACTTTTGTGTGGATATGGAGCTCTTAGGAAAAGTAACCTCACATGAGCTGAAATCAGGAGGTTCAAATATCTTGGTAACTGAGGAGAACAAGGAAGAATATATTGGGTAGGAAGGTGTAGATGTTGTAAAAAAAGTGTTCCATTTTTCTTCTGTTGCTCTAGTCTTTTTTGACAGAGTATGATTTGGTTTTGCCTTTTTTTTTTTCTATTACTGTGTAATTCTTGGGACTGTTATTGAAATGGTATCTTGATATATTTTGATCTCTCCTGTTCTCCTGTTCCCTCTTCCCTCTGCTCCCTTCCTCTCCCCCACCAAAAAAAAAAAAAAAAGAAAAAAAAGAGAAGACCTGATAGGGAGAAGATGACCTATCTTGTTATACAGTGAGAGAACAGGTGAAACTGAAACTGAACAAACCTATTTTCAGTAACTTCAGGTAACAAATCCAGGAGGAGGAGAGAGAAGGCATGTATTTGACAGAGGATTTAAAAATTGTTCAGAACTTTGCTGTCACTGTGGAAACTGAAATTCATAATGGTGTATAATGTGGTGGGACTTCAACTGTTTTTCCTCTTTATTCTCTTTATTTTGCTCTTTCCTGCTTGTCTCCTAATCTTATCACTGCCTTTCTTTTTCTGAACCTGTATTTCTGATTCATCTATTCAGAGTGATCTCTAAAGCAGATGTACACAGATTGTTTTCTGTGATGCAGAGTATGTCCAGTGCTGCACATAAAGTTCCCACTTAAATTCGCAGTCTTAATTTTCTCAGTGAAATAGAGTCTATAGTATGTATATATATATTTACTGTCCTTTTTATCACTGCCTTTCTTTTTCTGAACCTGTATTTCTGATTCATCTATTCAGAGTGATCTCTAAAGCAGATGTACACAGATTGTTTTCTGTGATGCAGAGTATGTCCAGTGCTGCACATAAAGTTCCCACTTAAATTCGCAGTCTTAATTTTCTCAGTGAAATAGAGTCTATAGTATGTATATATATATTTACTGTCCTTTTTTTTTTTTTTATTCAGAAGTGGCTTGACCATTTTAGTTGAAACTTAAAAAACACTACCTCTTCCTCCAAATCTTAGCATAAATCAGAAGCTCAAATCAGAAAATGACTACTCTTTGTTGAAGCTGGCAAAGTAGTCTTATGCTGGAAGTATTGGGCAACCATAGTGATAAATATTATAAGCAGCAGTATTTATTTTTATTCTCTGCCTACATGGTGTTTTTTGCTCAAGAACAGAATATTTTAAAATCAGTGGAAATTCTTCTTTTCTACCATTGAAACACTAGGATTATGCACTTTTTAAGCTATAGCAAATTTTGCCATAACAAAATCATAATGCCCAAGGAGCATTATTTTCATGAAAAGGCTGCTGAATTTTGATTAGTGAAAGGTTAATAATAATAATTTTTTTTTTTTTTTAACTGGAAGGGTAATCTAAGTACAGCTTGCTGCTTTTACTGTTCTCTTCAGTTTGGAAATTTGTGACAATATTAGCATGGTAGGTCCCTTATAGTCTGTGGGATCGTACAGTGTAAGAAAGTAAAACTGGAGGGAGCATTACGTCATGGGAATGCATGTGCAGTCCTACATGTTTGAACTTCTTCATGTTGAGTGCTAACTGATGTTTAATTTATGTTTGTTTTTTTCCATCCCAGGCTAATGGCTGAGTGGCGATTTTCTCGGGGAGTTAGAGAACAAACCAAAGCTTTTCTTGATGGTTTTAATGAAGTTGTTCCTCTACAGTGGCTACACTATTTTGATGAAAAGGAGCTGGAGGTGAGGTTTTCTGTTCAACATTTTTACCTTTTGCAAAGGTAATACATATGGAATGATTAAATAGATAGGTCAGCTTGAATTTCTCATCTGTGGCATGCTGCATTTGATAGCTTCTGGAACATGGAGTATTTAATAGGAGCGGTGTGGGTAAATCATGGTGAAAAGACAGTGTATCTGGAATTGGTGTTTTATGGTGCTCAGCAGTTGGGAATTTTAGATTCCCTTCTCAGTATTAAAATGCATTTTGCACGTTTCTATGAAAAGATCGGAACATGAGGTTACAGATGGATTTATTAGTTATAGAAAACTTTTCTGTCTGTGGTAGATGGGTAGAATTACCTTGTAACATGGCACAGAAGCTGATTCTGGTGTATAATGATTGCGTAGTTTCAGATACATAGCCTAGGATAGGTTCTAGGGTTATTACACTTAAGGAGAGAAAGGTAAAGGAACCAACAAGGTTTGAAACTGAATTTTGCAGATCCTCAATATGTAACCCAAGGGCTGGTAACAGGAATCACTTGCATGCACCATGTTTACTTAACAATCAGCCTACGTTTGCTGTTGGGATTCTGATTTGGAGCAGGAACAAAAAGCTCTGTAGTGCTACGCTTATTTATTTCTGTGAGACCTGCCAAGGATAATGAGCAGTGTTCTGATAGCATCTGAAGTTAAATGGGAGTTTTTCCTGAGAAAGGACTTTGATCTATCTTATTTAGTGTTCAGTTTTCTAGGAGGCTTTGCCTTTAGCACTTTCAGCTTTCATTGTCTCTCATAATGAATACTTTGCAGACTTATACTTTGCAATATGCTCTATCTTTACTAATAGTAGCAGTAGCAGCAATGTAATCATCATCATATTGGAATACAAGGCAAAGTTTTAATGGGAAAGGTAATATCCTCTTTAATAAAAAAATTCCTTATATGGGAAAGGTAATCTATTTTAATATTGAATGAGTAGTCTTAAGAAACTAAGTTTCTGTTATGCAGGCTTTCAGACCACTTAAATACATAAACAATTTTGGAGTTCTGTAAACTTGGGATAAAGGAAAATCTGACTGTAGACTAAAATGGAAAAGTTACCAGGCCTTTTTTTGGAGGAAGAACCTCCATTTTTGTTAGTATGTCTCACACAAGATACAAAATTAATACTTAATTTATGTGTGTAGACATATGTATTATCAAGTAATCACTCTCTTTTCTAGGTTATGCTCTGTGGCATGCAAGAAGTTGATTTAGCAGACTGGCAGAGGAACACCGTTTATCGTCATTATACAAGGAATAGCAAGCAGATCATATGGTTCTGGCAGGTATGTTCACCAGTAAAATTTCTGACTTCTTTGGATTTTGTTTTGTAACACAAACGATGTGGGGTGGAGGGATGCCATCTGAATGAAGGTTCTTGCTGCTTCGTTTCTTTTTTCAGAGACAAAAAGGAGGATTACTTGTTCTTATGAAGCATACTTTAGGGTGGAAACTGGCAGTCAGCAGCATTACACTTGGATGGCTGGGTCATGAATACTTTTTCTGTATCTTGTCCTTCTTATTGATTATACAACAATAGTTTGTGTTGTTAGCAGTGATCTACCTTCTAAATGTCCCTATATGTAGTACACCTGCACATCTGAAATGACATATATTATTTATGATTATTGTCATATTAACTGTGCCAGTCTAGCACTGACTGATTATAACACAAATTTTAATGAAGTTGGCTAAGAATTATTTTCAGAAAAAAACCTCCAAAAATGCTATATGGGCTTCTAGTTTCTGTGAATTTCCCTGAAGAGAAGTCACAGCTAGGCAGTTCCTGTCTTGTGATAAATCACCATTTTAGAGATGGATTTGACCAAGTTACTATAAGAAAATGATGCAAATCATTTGTTTCCTAGCTTATTTATACTGTCAGGATAAGGTTAGATCTTGACAGCATGATCTCTTTTTAAGAAGCTTGGTACTGAAAGAACCAGAAGTTCAACGAGCTTGGATGTGGTTTCAACATTTATAGAACGAAAGTACTCATTTTGTTATCTAGTTGTGTCAATACCACCTCTCTTACTGAAGTGTTCTCCGTCTTGCCTCTCTTCCCTTTCCCAGTGAATTTCCTGACAGAGAGATGCAGCTGTTACAGATGGCATTTTCTCTCACTGAGACTGCCACATGCAGGATATACTTCAGTCTTGAAATACCCAGAGCCTGTGGCTAGGCTATTGCTGTGTTTAATCAAAATAGCTATAGTCTTCATATAAAGCATTGGCATTATTTATATTTTAGTGTAGAATAAAAAAGATAAAGATTCTTCTTATTTGGCATTCCCAGTCTTCACATTTTAACAGTCAACAGTGCATCTAACCTGCAATCATTGTCTTCTCCCTCCACCCACAATTTTACTGAACTGAAGAAAGGTAAACTGTTCGCAAGATGGTGACTTTTTAAATTGAATTATACTTTTTCAACAATTTCTGTGATTTTTGTTTTTTTGGAGCTGTATTAAGGATTTCTATTAAGTAATTTGAATTTCTATGCCTAGTTTGTAAAAGAAACAGACAACGAGGTTCGCATGCGACTTCTGCAGTTTGTTACTGGCACTTGCAGATTACCACTGGGTGGATTTGCTGAACTTATGGGTAAGTAACAGGTGACCAGAACTTTTATACTGTAGCTGTTCCATTTGCAGATGAACCATGGTGCAAATGTACAGATAGCGGGAACTTTATGTACATCAGTTTGGATCTAGAAGGGCTTTTTTATGTCAGAAATCCCACAAATACATTTATAAATGATTAGGAAATTAGCTCACTTCTCTGAGAAGAATGTCATATTCAGGTAACATTGCGTAGCGCCTCATAAGCTCTGTCTGCGGTGTCTGAGTTGTGTTTTATGCCACGTATATGTCATGTGTGCTACTTGAAAGAAACACTTTGAAAAATTTTCTTTTCTAGGAAGTAATGGTCCTCAGAAATTCTGCATTGAAAAAGTTGGTAAGGAAACCTGGTTACCAAGAAGTCATACTTGGTGAGTTATTACATGTAAACTTTATGTACCTTTAGCGGTTTTCTCTTCTGGTCTTGCATTTACAAGTTCAAATGAAATCTAATTTGAATCAGTTCTCTATTTCCATCTTCAGCTTCTTTGATTGCTCTGACATGCTGCTACTGGAAACTCTTCTGGTTGCCCTATTCTTAAATTTTGCTACTGCACTGTACACAGTTTGTTAGTATCAGATCTATCAAAAGTATATCATCATCCTTCTTGCACCGAACTGAGAGGTGTTCCCTAATTCTTTATTTTAGAGAATATTAAATAATTGAACAAAAGTCATGTTGGTATTAGGTATATACAGTTATGAGATACACTTATTGTACAGGAACATTTTAAAAGATAAATGTATAGTCGTGAGAGAAAGTAGTGTGAAAGAAACTACAGCAAATGTTCAAAACAAGGATGCTTAGCCAAGAATGCAGATACTTTTTCCTGCCAGGCTTCAGTCTATTACAGCTTGGCATTCCAATACCAAACTGGTGCAACAGGCACACACATCAGTTTCCCATATATACCCTTTGGAAATGGACACACTGTCCTTTGGCAACATTGTGACAATGGTGTTCATCATACTTTTAAATTGCTTCAGGGAATCCTATTTTACCATTTTCTCCACCGGTGCTGGTTTTTCAAGTGATGATTGCAAGAGTTAAACATCCTTCCCTCCAAGATAATTTTGGGGAAGACATGAAATGAAACAGAAGTTTGGCAGAAGCCTTCTAGGGCAGCATGTTGAGGGACAATAAAACCCCCATATCCGGGCATGCGTGGGAAGGAGAAAAATTCAGCTTTTTCATGCTCTTGTTGGAATTTGGAGGTGCATTAAACTAGGTGATATGAAACTTCATGGTGAACATTTCCTTTTCTGTGTATTATAGTTCTCTGTATCTTGGGCTGTCTTTAGTTTTCAAAGGTTCTGGTTTTTATCTGATGTGATAAGAGTCTTTTGTTTCTTAAAGTACTCCTCTCAAACGTTGCCTTTTTTTACTGTTCATAGAAATGTCAAGGCAGTGAGATTGCACTGATTGCTATTTCTTCATTTCTAAATGTTAAATGAGAACATTTGTAACTTCTATAGCAGTTGAGTTCTGTAGTGTTCTACGTGGGATTTAGAGAAACTTAACATTTTTTTTTTTCTGCTTAGTTTTAATCGTTTGGATTTGCCACCATATAAAAGCTATGAACAACTAAAAGAGAAGCTGCTCTTTGCCATTGAAGAAACAGAGGGATTTGGTCAAGAGTAGAAGTGGCTTCTAGTCAAAAAGGAGATATTGCATAATAAAAGGCCCAGCCAACTAAAATTGCACACTTAATTGTATATAAGCTTTTTGTTCTGTACAGTGATCTTTCTGGAACTCTAAAAGTATAATTGTTCTCCGTTCTTCCACAAAGATATGCAAAACAGTTCAGCCTTTTCTACTTTTATTTATTGCCCTTCCAAAAGACCAGAAAAAACCCTCATAAATTTTGAAAGCAGACAAGAGACTTATTTAAAATATATATTAAAAAAA